AACGATTATGTGTCCCTGAGTAACAATTCTGTGTCCCTGAGTAACAATTCTGTGTCTGTGTGAGTAACAATTCTGTGGCCCTAAGTAACAGTTCTGTGGCCCTCAGTAAACAATTAACAATTCTGTCCCTGATTAACGTTTCTGTGGCCCCAAGTAACAGTTCTGTGGCCCTCAGTAACAATTCTGTGTCTGTGCGAGTAACAATTCTGTGTCTGTGCGAGAAACAATTCTGTGGCCCTAAGTAAAAGTTTCTGTGGCCCTAAGTAACAATTCTCTGGCACTCAGTAACAATTCTGTCTGTCCCTGAGTAACCTGAGTAACAATTCTCTGGCACTCAGTAAACAATTCTGTCCCTGAGTGAGTAAGCCCTAACAATTTCTCTGGCCCTAGAGTAAAATTCTGTGGCCCTAAGTAAACTGCCCTGAGTAACAATTCTCTGGCACTCAGTAACAATTCTGTCTGTCCCTGAGTAACAATTCTGTCTGGCCCAGTAACAATTCTGTGTCCCTGAGTAACAATTCTCTGGCACTCAGTAACAATTCTGTCTGTCCCTGAGTAACAATTTCTGGCCTCCCTGAGTAAAAATTCTGTCTTCCCTGTGTAACAATTCTCTGGCCTAAGTAACAATTCTCTGTGGCCCTGAGTAAAAATTCTGTGGCCCTGTAAAATTTCTGTGGCCTGAGTAAGTAACAATTCTGCACTGGTAACAATGTCTGTCCCTGAGTAACAATTCTCTGGCACTCAGTAACAATTCTGTCTGTCCCTGAGTAAAAATTCTCTGGCACTCTAAGTAAAAGTTTCTGTGGCCCTGAGTAACAATTCTCTGGCCCTAAGTAAAGTTTCTGTGGCCCTGAGTAAATTCTCTGGAGTAACAATTCTGTCTGTCCCTGAGTAACAATTCTCTGGCACTCAGTAACAATTCTGTCTGTCCCTGAGTAACAATTCTCTGGCCCTAAGTAACAATTCTGTCTGTCCCTGAGTAAAAATTCTCTCTGGCCCTAAGTAACAAGTTTCTGTGTCCCTGAGTAACAATTCTCTGGCACTCAGTAACAATTCTGTCTGTCCCTGAGTAACAATTCTTCTCTGGCCCTGAGTAACAATTCTGTCTGTCCCTGAGTAACAATTCTCTGGCACTCAGTAACAATTCTGTCTGTCCCTGAGTAAAAATTCTGTGGCCCTAATTAAAGTTTCTGTGGCCCTAAGTAACAATTCTCTGGCACTCAGTAACAATTCTGTCTGTCCCTGAGTAACAATTCTCTGGCACTCCGTAACAATTCTGTCTGTCCCTGAGTAACAATTCTCTGGCACTCAGTAACAATTCTGTCTGTCCCTGAGTAAAAATTCTCTGGCTGCCGAGTAAAAATTCTGTGGCCCTAAGTAACAATTTCTGTGGCACTAAGTAGTAGTAACAATTCTGTCTGTCTGAGTAACCTGAGTAACAATTCTGTCCCTGAGTAACCCTGAGTAACAATTCTCTGGCACTCAGTAACAATTCTGTCTGTCCCTGAGTAAAAATTCTGTGGCCCTAAGTAAAGTTTCTGTGGCCCTAAGTAACAATTCTCTGGCACTCAGTAACAATTCTGTCTGTCCCTGAGTAACAATTCTCTGGCAGTAACAATTCTGTCTGGCCCTGAGTAACAATTCTCTGGCACTCAGTAACAAATTCTGTCTGTCCCTGAGTAACAATTCTGTGGCCCTAAGTAAATTCTGTCTGTGGCCCTGAGTAACAATTCTCTGGCACTCAGTAACAATTCTGTCTGTCCCTGAGTAACAATTCTCTGGCACTCAGTAACAATTTCTTCTGTCTGTCCCTGAGTAAATTCTGTGGCCCTAACTAGCGTGCGAGTTCAATTCTGTGGCCCTAAGTAACAAGTTCTGTGGCCCTCAGTAACAGTTCTGTGTCTGTGCGAGTAACAATTCTGTGTCTGTGCCCGAGTAACAATTCTGTGGCCCTAAGTAACAGTTCTGTGGCCCTCAGTAACAATTTCTGTGTCTGTGCGAGTAACAATTCTGTCTGTCTGTGCGAGTAACAATTCTGTGGCCCTAAGTAAAGTTTCTGTTTCTGGCCCTAAGTAACAATTCTCTGGCACTCAGTAACAATTCTGTCTGTCCCTGAGTAACAATTCTCTGGCACTCAGTAACAATTCTGTCTGTCCCTGAGTAAAAATTCTGTGGCCCTAAGTAAAATTTTCTGTGGCCCTGAGTAACAATTCTCTGGCACTCAGTAACAATTCTGTCTGTCCCTGAGTAACAATTCTCTGGCCTCAGTAACAATTCTGTCTGTCCCTGAGTAAAAATTCTGTGGCCCTAGTAAAGTTTCTGTGGCCCTAAGTAACAATTCTCTGGCACTCAGTAACAATTCTTCTGTCTGTCCCTGAGTAACAATTCTGTGGCCCTAATAACGTTTCTGTGGCCCTAAGTAACAATTCTCTGGCACTGAGTAACAATTCTGTCTGTCCCTGATTATGAATTCTGTGGCCCTAACTAGCGTTTCTTTGTCCCTAAATAACGATTCTGTGGCCCTCATTAACAAGTCTGTGTCCCTGAGTAATGGTTCTCTGTCCCTAAGTAACTTTTCTCTGTCCCCAATTATCGTTTCTGTGGCCCTAACTCTGTCCCTGTCCCTAGTACAGAGCGGTCTGCCTCTGTTCAATAACTGCAGGCAAATGAAGAATTCCAAAATGGCCGCTATTTATAGCTCGACCATTACACAGTGCTGGCTGGCTGGCTGCTGATAGGCTGATGCGATCACATGTAGTTGAGGAATGCATTATGGGTCAGCGCGCCTTGTCTGCGCGCCTTCCCAGACATCCCCGCTCCGTCGCCGCACATGTCAGCCGCCATTTTCTGAAAAATTTCGATTCGCGCGTCCGAATTAGGCTATTTTTCGGATTCGGCACGAATCGAAATTTTTCCGATATTCGACTCGAATTCCACTTCGGATACTTCGATTCGCTCCTTCAGCTGTACTTGAAATAAAGAATCCTACCCTTGTATTTTCTAAAACAGCAGCAGGTGAAAGCTCAGGTAACTATTGCTATTGCAGCTATCCAGGGATCATCCACACATTTTGTTCTCAGTGCTTATTCAGTTTTCCAGTTTGTATGGTAAGTAAATCTTTTGAGATGTTCAGAACAGCTTAGCTGGTTAGATGCTTTTTTTTTTTTTTTTTTTTTTTTTTTTTTTAGTAAAATTACAGCTTTCATATATCTTGCAATAAATGGTTTACACTGACTCTTACAATCGTGCATTATATAGATAATTGGATGTCACCCATCTGCTTTTGAACACTGGATAAGAAGCCGTGTTTATTGCTTCGTTTCCATGTCTGTGAATATATGGCTGTTTAACAGAAGTATTACAATACCCACACATTCCTGCTGTAGGTTCTTCCTGAGCACACTGTTTCTATGGCATGCTTGAAAGTTCCTGCTCTGTTGCCTCAGATTTTTTCATTTACCATTTTCATGTGTACCTATGAAAAATCCAATGGCCATTTGGAATGGCTTGTTGAATTGCATCATTAGGGACGGAGGTACAGGCAGTCCCTGGGTTACCAACAAGATAGGTTCTGTATGTTTTGTTCTTAAGTTGACTTTGTATGCAAGTTGGAACAGGTACATTTTTTAAGTGTAACTCCATCCAAAAAATTATTTTTACATTTTAGATAGCATAGGAAAGGGTTAACTTGCCATGCAGTGATGTGGGATTGCTGACAGGTCCACTGGACAGTAGGTGGCAGCAAGATTGCCACCTGGCAGTTTCCAAGGCCAGCTTGACGATATGCTACCTCTGTTCATGAGTACAAGTATATGTCTAACTAAGTGCCATGCTTCACATCAAACATGAAATAAAAATAGTTTATACATAAGTGCAATAGTTATGTAAGCATTAATTTCAATACTCCTATATGAACACTTGTGAGATGAACATCCAGCCACTGATATAATAATATAATAGGTGAGGTGCTTGACGTCACAGTACTCAGAAGTGTTACAGTGGTGTGGTAACTATATGGTGGAGGTATGAGGCATATGCGGGATCGATAGATGCATATCTATTAAATACTGGTGTGTTAGTGTGGTGCGCTGAAGCACTTATAAAATGTGAGTGTAAATTTGGAAATTCTTTTTAAGGCCAAAAAATTGATTTAACACTGGTGATCTCTCTATGCGTGCATGGCTGAGGAAGATTAATAAGAGAAGGTGGAAAGGCAAAGAACTGAGGAGTCCTCTAATCTGATTGGGAGAGCACAAATGAGTTCTAATTAAAGGGACACAAGCGTTTTATGACCTCACTTAGCAGTTTGGTTAGGAATTAATAGGAATGCACTAAGCTGATATTGGGACTAATATTTGGACTGAACTTTTTAATTATATCAGTGGCTGGGTGTTGATCTCACAAGAGTGTTTATTTAGGAGTATTGAGATTAATGCTTATATAATTATTATTGCACTTTTAATTTTTATTTCATGTTTGATATGAGGCGCGGCACTTAGAAGTATACTGGAGTGATTTAACATACATGATATGGGAGTGTGAATGGTTTGAGCGATTCACATAAGCACAATACCTGTTCATAGCAGCACACAAGGATTATTGTATTCAATTTTTTGTTCTTGAGTACAAGGCGTATGTATGTCGGACGTTTGTAACTTGGGGGCTGCCTGTACTTCTTTTCGTGTACCACTATATGTATGCTTTCATCTACCAAAGATGCCTGAGTAGCATCTTCTCCTTTCTTGCTCCTGAGTACACTTTTGTTTCTATGGCATGGATAAGTACCTACATGTTTCCTCAGATGTTTTAGGTTTGTCAAGATGCCTAAAAAGCATCTCTTCCTTTAGTTTGCTTTTTTTCTTCTCCAACCACAGTGAACTTCACAGTACTTAAGTTGTGTGGGTTTTTTGTTCTGTTTTGTTTTAGCAGAGCCACCTAATAAACCTAGTTTCTTTTATCTAGAAACGTTTTTAGATATAGAAAATCCGGGTAATGAAGACATGAAATGGCATCTCTCATCTTTTGCACCCACCTATGTAAAGGCATGTAACTTAATACAGCATATTCTTTTATTTAATCACTGCAGCACCAGGCCAATTTTGACATTTCTGAAATACATGTTAAAATCTGCATACTTTTTTTTTCCCCTAGAATATTACTTGGAACCTCCCAAACTTTTTTTTTTTTTTTTGCAGAGACCCTGGAGAAAAAAATGGCTGTTGCAATTTTGCATGCTATTTGCACAGCTATTTTTAAAAACACAAATTTTCAGGAAAAATATACTTTGTTGATTTTTTTTTTTTTTGTAGTGCACACAAACATAATATAATGCCCAATGTTTTGGTAAAACATAAAAGATGTATGTATATATCTAACCTGTTATGATTTTAAACTACCCCCACGGAATGGCGACAAACTACGGTACATTAAATTATCCTTTAAAAGCTTTTACAGGTTACTAGTTTAGCATTAAACAGGAGGTGCGGCAGTAGAATTATTGCTCTTAGAAAGAGAAGGGACCTCCAATCGACCCATGAGAAAATTGGAGTATGAGGATAATTATGTACTGAAAAAAAAATCAATTAAAATAAGGGTAAAATACAACTTTATACATTAAAACCTAGAGCCATTAAAAAACTATCTACTTTGGAATCGTCAAATGATAGAATACATATTCTAGAAAGCTTGGTAGCTCAACGCAATTCGCTTCCTCAGTTGCTGGTGTTGTTTAAGGACAGGGTATATATTAATAACTGATAATGAACAAAACATAACAGCATGTTCAATACAGTGTGAACACCCCAGAAAGAGGGGGGTCATTATCACAAACAAAAAATCCGAATAGCACAATATACCAACGTTCAATAGCATTACATCACTGGAAAGTTGGACATCAGGGGAGAAACGGGTGAAAGAAAAACAAAAAAAACCCACACGTAGAACACACCGTATACCAACACTCCATATTCCCAAGAGAGAAAAGGGTCTCAGACTAAAGGGGGGACCAAAAGAACAAAGGCAGAAAACACCCCTATTCACTGTACATGCTATCATCTTTTACTGAGGGTTGTGGAGTCTATTAGACCCCAGATCTCTCCTCTGCCCTAAGAAGCATCTGATCAAACTGAGATCGGTTTGATCAGATGCTTTACAAGCCAAGCCGTTAACGGATTGTTTACAACAAACCGAAACTTAGTGACAAAATCCTCCTTCCTTATAATTTTTTATGTCACAGGTGGGACCCGACAGGTAGCAGCAATCTCGGGCTCCCCAGTCACACTAGAGAATCTGGTGGGATGGGGGAGGCCACCTTTTGCTCTCTGTAAAAGTGATGGGGTGGATGTAGAGCCGCTCAGGGCGGACTGACCATTTGGAAACTCAGGCACTGCCCGAGGGCCCGGCGTCAGTAGGGGGCCCCATGAGATGCCCCTGGTACCTTTTTTCATAGGCTTTTTTGAGTTTGGGCAAGGACACGGGCCCCATGATCCCCTATTGCCCGGGGGCCCCATGAGTTGTCAGTCCGCCCCTGGAGCCGCTTCATCATTTCTACAAGAAAGCCCATCTCTGGCTGAATTTTTTTTTTTTTTTTTTTACTACTACAGCTGGGCTGAGCCATGATCCTCAGTATTACCACTTTGACCTGAGGATGTACAAGTATGTCTTAAGGGCTTGAAGTGGTTAAATACATGCAGTTTAACAAAATCGGCTATTTTATTCATTTTACAATATTACACATTTTTATATTTGTTTCAGGGAGTTGACTGCAGTGATATTTATCGGGCCACTTACACAGTTTTTAGGTGTTCTCAAGTGACTGGTATGCTGGCAGCACTTGACAGATTGAAGGTAACAAAAATGTCATGTATTTTTTAATTCAACCTATGTTCATGGTACATGCATATCTACTTTTCTTTCTTTTTTTTTTTAAGATTCCAGTTACTTTCTTCCCCAAAGATCCTGGTGACTATACCCAGTTTTGGGACCTTGAATGCCATCCAATATTGGAACCACATTTCAAGCATAATGTGAGATTTCAAATGTGTGGAGAAGTAAGTAGAAATAATTTGCTTTAAACCATGGAGAGGGCATAGTGCATTTCCTTGTGTTCTTGGGCTAAAAATGCTTTGCTTGATATTTCAGTCATATAGATATGCTATTTAGTATAGTGAAAATATGTTTTGTAATGATGTTTGTAATTATCAGCCCAATGCTTCTTGCAAGGTCTATGATCCCAACCCCACCTTTTCTGTCTGAAATGTACACAGTAGTTTACTGCACTCTTGCTGCCATCTGATGCAGGGCACAGATACAGAAACATCGTCAGGTCTTGGGTTATAGCAGCTCCTGTGTCTACAAATGCAAAACCCTACATATTCCAACCTCAGTTCTTTGAGTTCCCTTCTGGAGATCCCTCATTTTAGCAATGAGGGATCACAGGCATGAGGAAACTGGGACAAAAGCGACCACAAAGCCACAAATTGGTCTACAGAAGACTCAACTACAGCTCCGGGTGATAACTGTTCTCTTATCCTGGAGTAATGTCCTGTTATGATACTGCTCCCCTTATCTGACTGTAGTCATTATCAAGCACTCATTGTGCAGCCTGTCCAACAAAAGCAGGTTTCTCTGCCACAATGTCTGAATACGTTGGTGCTTCTACAACCTTTAGTCTTCAGGGGCCAAAAACACTACACGTCCACTATACCCCTCTGGCCCAGTTTAGGATTCGGAAGAGGAACCTCCTTTCTTTGGGGGTATTATGGGGAAATGTTTTAAGGACTCTACACACCACACACTAGTCTCTGCCAAGCAGTTCATGACTCTCCACAGCCTAAAAAAAACCTAGGGGGCGCTGTAAAAACTGATTGCCAAGAAAAAATTTTAAATGCACTCCCAAATTGTGTATTTTATGAAGACTGGTCCATTTATGAAAGAGCATTCACTCCTTTTTACTAAACTTCATTCTATGGAGCCCACCTGCTTCTTGTCACAGGATTTGGCTGACGGCAGCCCCCCTGTGTTGTCAAAATACCAGTGACCTACGAGTACGTTGCTGGTCCTGTAGCTGCCATCTGTCCGCAGTATATTGTGGGCGGGGGGGCCAGAAAGTGGTTAATAAGGTCTAAACAGTGCATTTTTGTATAATCTCTGCATTGTTCTTGTTAAATACCACTTGACCCTGTCCAACATCCTATAAAATGAGAACGACTTTCGCCTGCTGGACGTCTCCTCACATTAGCTACCAGACTTCCCAAGCAAGCCACCAAGAGTTCTCTTTTGCTCCACGCAACTCATGGGCGAGCCAGTCATTAAAGAATGTCTAACTGTTAGAAACAGTGGGTTTGAAACCGGGCTTAACTCTTTGAGGACACGTCTATGTAAGCCATCTGGTCCAGGTACTTTATTCACCTTTAATGCTCATGCACACTGTAGCTAAAAAAAAATAAAAAAAATGCTTTTACATACGTTTGAACTTTTATTTCTCCTCTGTCTAAATGCTTCTGGATCATATCAATTTTGGGTTCTTTTTAGGCTATGTCAACGCTATCCCCATTATAAACTTTAACTCCTCCCATTTTCCTTTTAATTATTATACAGGATTTATATAGCGCCAACAGTTTGTGCAGCGCTTTACAAAATGAATGTAGACATTACAGTTACAATACAATTTGGTACAAGAGAAAACAGAGGGCCCTGCTCGTTAGAGCTTACAATCTAGGAGGAAGGGTTGAGTGATACAAAAGGTAATAGCTGTGTGGGGATGAGCTGATTGAGGAAATAAATGACAGTTGATTAGGTGGAAGCAGGATAGGCTTCTTTTAAAGAGAGGTTTTCAGGGATCGTCTAAAGGTGGATAGATTAGGAGATAGCCGGGTAGATTGCTGTAGGGAGTTCTATAGGATGGGAGAAGCTCGGGAGACGTCCTGGAGGTGAGCATGGAAGAAGTTGACACGGGAACTAGAAAGCAGAAGGTCTTGGGAGGATCGAAGAGAGTGGTTTGGTTGATATTTTGAGACCAGCTGGTGATGTAGCTGGGGGCAGAGTTGTGGATGGCTTTGTAAGTTGTTATATTTTGAGCTTTATTTGTTGGATGAGTAGAATCCAGTGAAGGGATTTACAGAGTGGGGTACCAGACACTGGTTGGTAAGGTGGATGAGCCTGGCAGCAGTATTCATGATGGACTGGAGGGGGGATAGCCCAAGTAAAGGTAAGCCAATGAGGAGGGAGTTGCAGTAGTCGAGACAAAAGATAACCGGGGAGTAAATTAGGAGCTTTGTGGTATCATTGGTTAAAAAGGGGCGTATTCTGGAGATGGTTGCGGAGGTTGAGGCGGTGTTAATAAATCAAAATTATGATTCGGCACTCATATTGATGGCAAGCTTGCAAAATATTTGGTTTTTATGATTAGTCATAATTAATATTAATATGTGTGAATGGTCTTTTGACAAATGGTAGTATTACAATTCTTCAATTATAACTGAGACTGAAAAATATGAATAAGTTAAGCTGAGACAGTAAAATAAGACAGGAGTTAAGCTGAACTAGCTAAACCAGCTGAAGACTGTGTATACTATATTTAGATATAGTTGGTTAAAAGTATCTGGTAGTATATGTCAAGGTTATTAGAAGTGACTTACTATTACATTATGTATTTTAATAGTATCTGTGTGTATTTAGTATACGTTTCTAACATTGATACATATATAGTTTAGTGATTATACATTGATATGTTCTTAAGCTATATTATTCTTTAAATATATAGCTGAGGGTTACATCATTAGCTTATAATATTATTTACATCAGCATAAATATGTTCCTGTCCATCAAAAACATTGTGAGTGTCGTCCCCTCCCTTCTATGCCATACAAGGTATTAAGAATCTCTCGTTATGACACACTCATGCTGCATAAAGGGGGTCATAAGGGACAGAGGGAGCACACTCACACGCTAACACGACACTCTTGCATACACATACATACACGTCTGAGAAGCTGCAACAGGTGCATGCTATGAGATCATCATTTCCGTCTATTTCCGGCTTCTTCTTCACAAAGTCTCGAAGGACAAGAACATGAAGGACAGAACAGCACATGGCCGGACTTCTATGACAGATAATGGTGACTTATCTTTAAACTTTTGCTTGTTATTTCTACAGTAGTTTTATCTACATGGAACTGTTCATAATACGCTTTACATTGTTATTTTACACCATTGTGTGATGGAATAAAATCACACTTCATTTTTTATTTCAATGGCTCTTTCATTCATAATCGCCTCAAGACACTAGAAGAAGTATTATATGTGTCTAAAATCCAACAGGCGGCATGATTTGGACAGGGATTGGATGTGGGCCTGAAAGCATAGTTTAGAATCCAGGGTTACCCCTAGCACCTTGGCATGCAGGGATGGGTTGATAGTGGTGCTATTGATCCTGACCAAGAAATCAGGGGAAAAGGCGTGTGAGGGAGGGAAATATTATGAGCTCAGTTTTGGATAGATTGAGTTTTAGGAAGTGGTGTGACATCCAGTCTGATATGTTAGTAAATCGGTGATACGTGAGGAAACTGATGGGGTGAGCTGAGGAATAGAGAGATTGCTTCAAATGGTTTCCAATACCATTTCTAAGCTGACACACAAATCTATCAGCTGACCCAAGGAAGAAGTGTAGATCGAGAATATGAGAGGTCCAAAGACAGAACCTTGGGAGACCCCGCCAGTAAGAGGAGAAGGAGGAGAGGAGGCAGTAGATCTGTAAGTGACACTGAAGGTGGGGTGAGATGGATAAGATTTGAACCAACGGAGAGTACTCACGGAGACCAAGTAAACAGTTTTTGGGGGGTGGAGATGGCTTCCGGCAAGTGAGCAGCAGGTGGTCGGAGCTCCTGCTGGGACACATTATCCTGCAGCTATCCTGACAAGCAGAGGGCCGCAATTCTGTACTCCAAGGAGACCTGAAGGGGGGCTTAGGCAGGTGAGCACCTCACATTGGTGAAAATTGGGCAGGCTGGAAGGAAATCCTCAGGGCGCCTGGCTAGATTTGCCTGGGGCTCTCAAGATGGCAGTCATGGTTGGAACACGCGTGGAGGAGTTGCCACAAACCTCCTGCTCGGATGTGAGCAATGTACCGATGGGATGCTCCTTGCCTAAGAGGGATCTCTCCTCTAAAAAGGGACAGTCTGTGGTCAGTCTGCCAGGATCTGAGGAAGGTGGAGGGGACAGAGGAAAGGGAGAGCAGCAGGAACTGTCGCTGAAACAGATCATATCTGACAGAGGTGTATGGCTGACAACTCTCATGGATCATATTGATGGGGTTAAAGTTGATCTGTCATTTCTGAAGCAAGACATGCAAACCGTTAAGGAAAAAGCTGCTGAGGCCGAACAACGGATCTGTGATTTGGAAGACATTATTCATCCTTTAGAGGGATCTGTACAAAATGCTACCGAGGAGCTGACAGCTCATACTGGCTAGTTGGAAGATATAGAGGACAGTCTGAGACACAGTAATATCTGGCTGGTGGGCTTCCTGAGGGGGCTGGAGGAAAACGGCCTGAGGATTTTCTGGAAAGTTGGCTTAAGGAACGTATGAAAGCTTGTACTTTCTCCTGCCAATTTGCCGTAGAAAGGGCGCATAGGATTCCCATGCAGGCTCCGCATCCAGGAGCTCCTCCTAGGCCTATGATAGCACGTATACTACGCTTTCGGGACCGGTAGAATATTTTGAAAGCAGCTAGATCACTTGGAAAACTTATCTACATTGGCAGTTGTATATCTATATATCCTGATTTCTCCGCAGCTATGCAGAAGCAGCGAGTGAGTTTTGTTCATGTAAAAAAATGACTGTGAGAGTGTCAATTGATATACAGTATGCTATATCCTTCTAATCTGAGAGTGGTGGATAGGGGTATAGTACATTTTTTCAATAGCCCAGTGGAGGCCTCCCGTTAGCTGGATGCCAGGGGGCGCCCAAATGTGGTGGATGGCTGCATGGAGGAACTTGATGCATCTTTCCCTGTTTGACACTGTGGGGGCTGTGTGGGTTTGTTTTTTT